GCCGGGCGCACATGTTTCAGATGGATCGTCATGGGCACCTCTAATTAGGTAAGTATGCCACAATGACGTCCATTTCGTAGGTTTTATGAGGTGTCGGTTTTACCTCTGACAATACACAATCTTATATTATTCTTATATATTATCTTAATAGAACTTGGTGCAGCAATATCTTCTACAGCAACTTCTATTTATTGGTTAAAGCACGGCTCTGTTCCAACTTGGGCCATCCCATTTTCAATTTTATTCATTGAACTGAAATTTATTATTTATATTTGTTCCATACGATTTTTTGGAATTATATCGCCATGATTATAATACTATAGATAAAGTAATATTATTTTTAATAATATTTGTGTTTATTATATTTGCATTTGCATGCTCCTTATACCTCTTATTACACTTTGTGCCTGAGACATCTTAAGGCATTTATTTACCTAATAAATTGATTTGTTAACTTGGTCATAGATAGTTTAATTCATGACTTACGTCATTATTTAAATCTTTAGATCCAAATATTCAATATTATATGATGATCTCGGGTAATATACTATATAGTTTATTAATACTTTATTCTTATGTTTTATTTAAAAATAATCTATTTAATTATGTTATATTAGGAGATTCAACTCCAATTTCTTCATGGATTTCAAATACAATAATGCTCTTAATAATTGTGCTTCCGTTTTTACACTAATTTACCTAATGAATTTATTTATCGGAATTTTAGTAATACCAGTACGATCACATGAATGTGTAACATGAATGTGTAGAGGGATGGTTCCGTTCAACTTTTTTGAAGCCTATATTTTTTCCTATATTAGAAAAAATCCTTTTTTAGAATGAGTAATGGTTTTCGTTTATCCAAATCTAGTAGGAGTTAAGATAATACTGACATGGCGTATTCACATGCCATCATGCTGATCGTCATCGGTTATGTCGGTAAATCAAGCTGCTCTGATCGGCTAGTATCGGTTACGGTTAATAACCGTAACCGAACCCATCCTTATTCTGGTACACAATATTAAATGATCTTTCTTAGCGGATAATCAATGTTTAATAACAATTACTATCATTATCGTTGATGAAATGTTCTTGACAAAAAAAATTTAATTTCTTTATAATGTGTAGCTTGTCATCAAATTGCAAGATCATAAGTTTTATGGATCACATGCTTAGATTGAACTGTAATGGTTTGCTGTGTTGTTCTCGTTAGACCAGGCTTTTTTTGGTTAAGCTTATGATTGTTAAGTGGCGAATAGATATAGATGTCAACAAATCAATGTTAAAGTAAAAAGTATTTTCATATGGCTTCAAGCATGAATCAGATCAGTGAGATGGAAGGAGAAAGATGTAATGCAGTTTATTTAAGAGCGATGTTTTTAGTAAAAAAAAAAAGCTTATCTTACTCTTTTTTATTGCTTGCATTGCAGGAAAGCTACTCCCATCCCGTCTATGGTGCGGTGACCCACGATAAGTTTAAATACTTGACGGTTGACTATGTGACAAGGTGTAATGTCGGTTAGTGTAAGGACCTGGCTTTGTTTTAGTCTTTTATTTTTGTAACTATGAAGCTTCTAGTACAAAGATTTTGTTTTTGTAGTAATTAGACTCCGAGGCTGCAGTAGCAATGCAAGGACTTTAGTAATTAGGCCTCACAGCGGTGGTAATAGTGTAACAACTGGTTTTGTAGCAATTAAGCTGCAGTAGCAGTACGAGAACCTTGGTAGTTAGGCGGTAGCAGTGCAAAAATCTTGTTTTAAGTAGTAGTGCATGAACCTTCGCTAAATGGGTTGCAGGCTCCATGGCTGAGATAACAGTGCAGTGTATTTAAAAAACCCAGTTTACTTCTAGTCGCTATAACTCAATCCTGTATATACCTGAGTACTTACATGTATATGCATGAACTTACTGATATCGATCGTACTGGTCCTGCGCGGCACCGCGTGCTGCGCAGCTACCTTTTTTAATTCGTAATCATAAAAACAGTTATATTGACTATTTGAACTTTAAACTAGGTAAACAGAATATGTTAGTGTCCAGAACGTATCTATACTAGATTAATAATCCGTTGAATGCAAAACGGGGTAAGATAAATCGATATTTATTTAAATGACTTAATATATGCAGTTTATATTTATAATCGGTGATTGGTGGATAATCACGTGAGCGGAATCCAAGGTACTTGCTACGCTCCGGACAATTAAAGAGTTTTAAATTCTATATTTATTTATTTATTTATGTAGAACTTGAGATACTATATGTTACCTCGCCAACGAAGAAAAGAAAATTGGTTTTCGTTTGTTATGTAAGTAATTTAAATATATGAAAAACAAAACAAACCCTTATTTCTATTACTTACATATTTTTATACAGGTATTAAAAGTTTTTACGAATGTCACATAATTAAACTTCGTGAACATATAATTGATATCGAAAATAATAAATGGTTAGGTTATAAAAAGGCTTACATTTCAAATAACCTTAAAGATAAAGAGTCTATCAGTGAGCCGAAAAATTCAATTAAAGAGTTAAAAGAATCAACTAAAGAGCTGAAAGAATCAACTAATGAGCCTTCTCTTATACTAATTGAGAAGGATATTAAAGAACTAAAAGATCAACTAAAGAGCTAAAAGAAACAATAATATTTAATTGAAAGTCGAATACAAATTAATAGATGAAACTTTACTATTGCAATTTCAATACTTAAAGATTTATGTTTTAATATATGAAAAAAGTATAATTGTACACGATGTATTAATTTTACTAATTCGATAATTTAAAAATCGTTTAATATGCCGATCGCAACAATTTTTACGAACGAAAATTAAACCCTTGCTTATGGTTAGTGTTTTTGATTGGGGTTAAATATAATTTATACCAAACTTTTTTGCAAGGAATTTTTTCGTTAGAAGCCAAAGGTGGTTTTTCTTAATTGAAATTTTGAGATAGCAGTTGGTTTTGATATCGCCCGTGTACAAATAGGAATTGTCTTTTGAATATTAACAAAAATAAGGTCCTATAATATTTGGAAAATAAGCATGCTATTTTTAATTAATAGGGGTGTAATTGATTAATATATAGTTTGTTTAAAATTACTTTACTCGATCCTATAAATACATTTATCTACAAATTTAGAATTTTTCTAACCATCAAATGAGAAATGACGCAGAATATAAATATATCGTAAGATCTCAATCAATATACAGTACAAATTTACACATTCCAATTTTTTTAAAATTTTACGAAATTCCGTAGTGGCGTCATTGGCCAGGTACTAGAATTTTTAAGCAGAAAGCATTAGAAAACTACATCGCCACAAATATTTTAAAATATTTACTAACAGATTATGGATTAGTATGGATCTTCAAAAGTTTCAAATACGACTAAAAATTTTTTGCTTGAACCTTATTTATTGACGTTATAATAAATATTATTAAAATTTGAAATTTCATTATTCATGCTAAAAAATTAAATATAATTAGAGATGTCGGATAATTCTCATGTAATTTCAATGGAGGATACTCCTAAGAAATTTTCAGAAATTATCTGCTCGCCTAACTTAAAATATGTTGCTGCGTTGTATGAAGATGTCAATATAAGTCTTTGGTCTATTGAGAAACCTGATAAAATAATTAATATTGGCAAGATTCACATAAAAAAAAATGATGAAAAAAATGGTGGAAAAAATGGTGAAAAAATATTTGCAATTTCGGATAAATATATTTCATTCAGTCTTTATAGAGATAAACCTTATAATTTCAGTAAGTTATGTATAATTTAGAATTATTACTATTTCAATTAATTCAATTTCATTTACCGTATTTTGCACATTTTTAAGAAATTTTAGATTTTGAAAATGAAAAAGAGGTATTATTAAAATTCCCAGATCACCAAAAGGAAATTGACTATTTATCCTTTATTGATAACGGATATATTATAATGATTAATACCAAATATTACAGAGCATATGTTTTTTCAAGTAAAAATAATATTGCATGGGTTTGTGAATCAATGATCGAGCTGAAATATTTTTTAAAAATTTATATTACTCTTAAAGGCAAATTGATAATATTTAATGATACTATTTATGAGATCACAATGTGGGACGTTGAAAAATTATCGATTAAAACTCGTGTTTTAATAGATTGGGATTTTACACCCGAATTTATTGTAATTAGCGATGATGAAGAATTATTAGTAGTATGTGCAAGAAATGAGAAAACCAAGAGCACAAATTTATACATTTTTTCCACCGAAACTGGGATACATCTGTCATTCTGTAAGTCTACTTATTAAAATAAATAACGAATCATGCAAATTCCTTTATATTGATTTTTTTATTTTTTTATTTAGTTTCTACAAAATTGGTAATCAATAGAATCCACTTGATCGCTTCTAGAAAAGGAGAGAGGTTATTATACATTTCAAATGAAGAAGACTATAATTTAATGGACCCTTATGACCTAAAAAATCCAATAGATGCAAGTGATCTTTTTGAAAAGAATAAAATTCAAATTCAAGAACCATACATAATTCGATCGGATGAAATATCGGATAAAATCATTTATACGATTGACGGAACAATTTTAATTGAAGAATTAGTACCTGATTATAATAATTGGATCAATTACTTACGAAAAGTATTGAAGGACACAAATTGCATTACATCTCCGTCTAAAAACACAATCGACATTATAAACGAATTAATTGATAAACCTAATGTTGATAAAAAAGAATTTCAAGGGGAACTTTTAAAATGGGGATTAGAAATAGAAGATAAATCAGTCAAACTTACAGTAACTGAATATAATTATCGCAGGAACAAATGGGTCCCCAAAAAACCACTAGAAATCCTTCCATCAATTTATCCTAATGCAACAAATTTTATACTATGCTGTGAAGTTCTTGAAAATGACAATTTTATCACGATTACACGTATTGGTGTAATTATCTGGACTTATAGACATTCTGAAATCAAGATGCATTATTATTGGAATTATTGGAATGATCATTTAGAAGGGTTCGAATTTGAAAAGATAAAGTTTAAAAGTCTCCTTAAAAACTGGATGATTCCAGCAAGAATTCTTCCTGCTTCAAATTATAAAACAATTTACAACAATCTAGATATTAAATTCGGTAAAACAGAAGAAAAACAGCTTTTTAAAAATTTTTTGGAAGATAATATAAAAGAAAAATTTTATTTCTCTTGCTACGGAAAAATTCTCATTAAAAGATTTATTGAATTAAATGACGATAAATGGATTCGATCTTTAGGCCAAAATTGTATTGAGAAGTGTATGAAAGAAAATAATTATCTAATTTCTAAAATTTCTTTGTTGAGTATTATTTTTGAAAATTTTAAAGAATTATCAGAAAATCATCCTGCATTTATAGCAAGTGCTTTATCTGTAATAGGATTTGTTGTCTGTTCTAAGATTGTGATCACAAATTCTTCACATCTTTCCAGTCATGGAAAATACCGTCATTTATCTAAAACTTCATTACTTGATAGATTAGTTTCTAATTTTTGGATTTATTGGATTAGTTTTCGAAAAAGATTTCAAAATATTCTTCAAAATTTTCAAGAAAGTCATAGTTCAATAATACTTGCAATTCCTTTACCAGACTTTGCTTCTTACCCAAAAGGGTGTAATGTTTGGAAAGAATTAGTGTTACCTGCTCCTAATCCTTTTACATATTCGAATAAGGTTGAAATAATAAATGAGGAGTTTTATAGATATTTAAATGGAGAAGCACTACTCAGATTTAAATGGAATACCTATGGAAGAAAATATTATTTTGCAACTTGGGCAGTTTATTTTGTTTTTCTTTTTAGTTTCATATATGCTGCAACATATTACAGAAGCATTTCTCAGACCAGTCTATTTATCCTCTTAATTATAACTATTTGTTTTGGGATTTGGCACTTATTTTGTGAATTTCGGCAATTTTTTTTCGCACCATTAACTTATATGTCTAGTCCATGGAATTGGTTTGGTAATATAAATTTAATGTATAATATTAATTTTTGTGTAGCTAAAGCTGAAAATTTGGCGTATTTTATTATAAAATTATAAATTTTTAGGGCCTTTTTTGATGTCTTCTTTTTTTTATAGTTAGGGCTAGTATTATTAATAAAAAGTATGCCGTATTCTACCGTAAATAAGCACCACACACTCTACTCCATTTTTTTTAAATGCCCGATTAGCGGAAATAACTTGGCTAAAGATCTCATTATGATGTCCGTTAATCTGAAATTTAAAAAATGTGGTAGAGACAGGGTTGGCAATGGATAAGGTTCATTGAGAAAGCTCAATTGACTCCATTGAACCGACCATTCATATTTATATTATAATATTAATATATTCTAATTTATATAATCACTAATAACTTTTGATCCACTGATCCATTTTGGATGTTTTAACCATCAAAATGTTCGTATCGATGATAGGATTATAATAAAGTTAAAATCGCTAAAATACAATTATAGGATCTCAAAATCATTCAAATATTGTGTAAATTTAACAAGAGTTAAAAACTCTTATTAAAATTATACAAAATTTGAAGGACCTTGAGATACTGTGTTGTATTTTAGCGATTTTGACTTGGTCAGAATCCTCTTATCAAGACGAACATTTTGATGGTTAAAAATCCATAATAGACCAGTAGATCAAAGGTTATCAATGATTTTATAAATTAAAATATATAACAATAATATATATATTATACGTATAATTTATAGTACTTATGGTATCTTGTTGGACTCCATTGGCTCCATTGATAAATTATTCTCATTGGAGCAATGGACAAATGTCAATGGAGGTATGCTCCATTGGACCTAAATGATAAATATGCTAACCCTGGGTAGAGGGTGTGGTGCTTATTTACGGTAGAACACGGTATGGGAATTTTAGTAGACACCAAATTTTCAGCATAATCTATTTCAGTACAATTATTTATCAAATTATAATCAATATCCTATTTTTTTTTTCTCATAATCTAAGATTTAGGCGCATATTTAATGCCAACAATATCGTCAATTAAATGGCTCAAAAGTAATGTCATGCCAACAGACATGGCTGCCTTTTCTACTTTATTATTAGAAATCAAATTTATTTTATTTTTTCGTGCAATTGAATTTTTGGGTATTTATTTCTCCATGATACTTGGAGTAGCTAAAAGAGGATTTTCGTTCTTGATAATATTAGGACTTATTTTAGTTGCCTTTGCACACTCATTACACATTTTATTGCGACCTGCTACTGATGTATCTTTAGATTATCCAAGTTATTCCACTGATCCGAATGATCCGTGGAATTTGGCTACAACTTATAACACAGTAAATTCTAATGGTAAAATTGAAGACAGTGCTTCACTTATTGAACCTCCTACTGCAACTACAAATATGTTTATGTTGATGAGCACAGCAATTTCTGCTGTTTATATTATGCTAACAGGTAAAATTTAAATTATTCTTTTTTTGAAATTGCTATGTATCATTGGTACAATTTTTCTAACATTTAAATGTGTACATTTTAATAGGAGACACAACACCAATTTCTTATTGGGACTTAGAAAATAACCTCACCTTACTTGCTTTAACGATATCATTTTCTTTTGGAGCAACAATTTACTTAATGAATTTGTTTATCGGTATACTAAGTGAATCAATAAGAGATACTCGGACCAAAGAATCGTATTTAATTTTAAGAGCTGAAGTAAGACCTTATATAAATTATTATATATATGTTGCATCCGAAATATCGATTTAGCTAAAGTAGCTACTTTAGATATCTAAAGTAATTACTTTAGACAGCATAATTTCAGGTAGCTATTTTAAAAATCTAAATCAGTTACTTTAGATATTTAAAGTAGCTAATTTAAATGCAACGTATATATTTGTATTTATTTATATTTACTATTTTTTATCCATTGTATAGGTATTAGAAGAAATAGAGTTATTATATATGCTACCATATCAACGAAGAAAGGAAAATTGGTTTCCGTTTGTCATGTAAGTTATACAATTACACGCAGAAACAAAACCTTATTTATATCACTTATCTATTTTTATCTTAAAAGTTTTTATGAATGTCACACAACCAAACTTCGTGAGCATGTAATTGATATTGTCCAAAATAATAATTGGTCAGGTTATAAAAAACCTTACATTTCAAAGAATCTCAAAGAAGTCCTTCAACTCCCTGAAGAACAGCCCTCTCTTATAGAAATTGAGGAAACTGTTAAAAAGCTAAAAGAATCAATTGATAAGATCGCGAAAACTAAATAGTATTTCTGATTGAAAGTATAATATAAATACAGTAAATTAGCCGAAAATTTGGTTATTTTTGAAAAAATAATAATGTTTTGATGCTATTCTTTGAGTCTAATTCACTTGTAAATATATGGAAGATTTCTTGCACTTCTCTCTTAAAACTGATGCCTTATATATTGATTACTGATTTACTTGCTCGGATTATCGTTCATTCAATCACTATTTTAACTTTTACTGTAATGGATTTTTCGTGATTGTTCTAGCCGTATAATATTAAAATTTTAGTTCACCGACTAAATTATTAACTACATGAATTAATCTTTTAGAGCGGTTCTGAACGTCGCCTTGGCAAAACTCAAAATAGCATACTGGGAACGGTATATGCTATATGGGTAATGTAGAAGTTTCAACATATGGACGTTTTCATTATAAAATGTGAGATCTGCTTCTAAAAAGTTTATTTGTACCTGACCGTGACTTTGTCACGGGAGGGCTATTATCAGAGGATCAACACATGACCATGCAAGATAAAGAAGAAGGAAGATTTGTTTTTCTTTTGATGATTGCTGTGTGCCCGAAACATTTAGTTTCTGGTTTGAAGTAAGAAAGAGTAAAAAAATAAATAATAATATATTATATATATTGTGAACCCGATTTTTTGGATCACGGGTGCCCGAATTGAAGCTACGATCCTTACCCGATCCAAGGTCACGGGCAAAGTAACAGAAATGGTACTTATGGTACTTATGGTACTTATGTCACTTCTGCTACTTCGGCCATATATGCGTTAAATGACATATCGGCCTTTTATTACATTTAGTGAATATATGGAGTATAAGGAATATCTGGCATTTATGGCATAAATTGATTACGAATGTAAATAAACTGTTTATTATAAATAAGGGCATTTCTGCCCGGAAGAGAAGGATAATGATCCCTTCCCTTAAACAAACAAATTCCCTAATAACAATAAATACTCGCCCCCTAATAAAAGTGAAAGTATCACCATATACAAACTAATAAACTATCGTTAAACCCCATTGTTATCCCTATCGTTCACCAATAAACCAAACTCGCCGTTGATCGTTCGCAATAGAGGAAGTTCCAACCCCGATTCGACGAAGAGTAATCCCGGGTTGAGGCATACAAGAGAAGCCAAGAGAAGATAAAGGTTAATAGAAGAATCGGTTAAAGGAAAGACTTACAAGAAGAAGACTAGTACTTACCTACGGATAAACCACCAGCCAAATCTAACACGCCTATTTCGACTTAGCCGCCGTAGGTTACACGAGAATTGGATTAGAGTAGCAACCGAATCGCCGATTCCGGAATCACAATATATATGTGTGCGTCAGATGCATCCTTGGATCCGACGCATGTCAGATGTCGATTTCCATATGACGCACGTCACCTGTCAATTGGCCATCTGACATAAGATCTTCAAAATCTAATTTAGTAATAATAAAAAATAGTAAAGCAAGTTTTAAACAAAAATGTAATAACGACTATGTAATAATGTCATTATGCATAAGGCTATAAAAAAAACCCCCTTTGTTTTGATTTTCTTTCTTTTTCTTGGAATTTGACATAATCAACATTGGTTATACATCTCTCATTGGCTTTTGTATTTGACATTGGCTTTTACATTTGATTTTGACTTTCATATTTGATATTGATCTTATATCACATTAGGCATTAGTGATGCCTACTAATTTCTTCACATTCAGCATTGGTTTAATTCTTTAGTATTACTTATTATTGGATTTTAACATGTCTTCATTTTACAATATTTTGTCATATTATAATTTTTTTTAGACTTATTATAGTTTTGAATATGTTCTTATCTTTCCTAAGCATTGTAATTTTTTTTTATATTGTTTTATTTTTTTTTTTTTTCGGTATTAAGGTGACCTCTTTGGTCTGAGCTTTTTATTAATACTTATAGCGGGTACATGTTTTAT